TGATAAAATTTTACACTGATAAGTCTTGAGATATCAATCACACTAATGACAGTAGCAGAGAAGTAGTTGAACAAGCAGAAACTGACATTGAGTTGTGTGGTATAGTAAATGAGTTGAGGGCCACCAGCAAAGATATTATTATTATTATTATTGTTATTATTATTATTATTATTATTATTATTATTATTATTTATTTAGTTATATATTTATTTATACTCACTATTTATGTTGGACTGCATTTTGTCACTGTGGTTTTAAAAAACTGTGTATGCATGGCCGGCTCTAGAGGGGAGGCACCATATGCCCATGCCTAGGGCCTCCAATTTTTAGGGGCCTTAATTTTTTTTTTAATGTTTTATATATTTGTGTTTGATTTTGTTTATTTACACAAATAAAGGGGCTAATGACTAAATATGAACTTGACTCATTACACACATCAAGAGGCTAATTAATGAAAGAGCCAATAACAAAATATATACTTTGTGTAAGAATTTGAGGCCCTAAATATTTTATTTGTTTTCTTATTATGTTCGGTCAGAACAAGTTGTGTGAGAATATAAATATTCTTTGTTGTAATATGATTTTTATTTTCTCCTCCTTGTTGTCTTCGTGACTGCTTGAATGCAATTTATAACTTATTAAAGGTAATTTTTTCAAAGTCTAGAAAAACAAGAAAATCGTTTTTTTTACAATTATTTATTTATTTAATAACCTTGTTTAATTAGATTTTTTTTTTCTTGTATGATTCTATCTACAAATAGCCCTACCACGCAAGTTCAAATCGAAAAATTCGAAAACGTAAAATTTGTTTGGGGCCTCCAAATTTCTGAAGACGGCTCTGTGTGTATATGATTGTCATTTCGGATACAGCTAGCTAGCTCTACCCAAGCTGGTTTCTGAGTATTTATGAAAGTTCAGTCTTTCTATGTGAATTTTATCTGAGCACTTGTGAATTATGAATGAATATAAATAAAAATGTGACCCCATTTTGAATGTGTTGAGCTGTTTGGTCAGTCGAGTGATATAATAAGGGTAGTTGGCATTTCATGGGCTTTTACTTTTCCTGCTGCTTGTTTTACTGAATTCTTATTAGCTTGCGAAATTGTTGTACTTTCTTCAATTTTTATTTTTTTTTCACAGTTGATACATATTAATGCTATGTTATTTGTTCTACAAAGAAAATTTATATCTGCATTATTGTGAACTCAAAGATCCTATATTGCAACTGCTCATCAATTTGATTGTTGGCTTTCCAACAGTAGGTTTTCCTTTGTTTTTCTTTATTTTGCCATAATATTTATACTATAAGTATGTAGTATAAATCACAAATGTTGTGGTAACCTATTAGTCGACCCGAAAATGTATATTTATACTACGAAAGAATATGCAAGTCCTATAAAACCTCTCTATGAGCACCGATATATATATATTTTGAATTGTTGGTCACATATCCTTAACTATTGTACTATAATTAGAGGAAAACATGGTTTTACTTTGTTACGATATATGATTTTTGGGTTAAGGTTGATCTCGTGTGAGCAGTATCCTATCCATCGGATTGCACACACATACACCTATATGTGCTGATCCAATTGTTAAAAACTCAGTATGTGCAGTACAATATGCCCTAAAGTAAACTGCACAGTGAGATAATAATAATAATAAAAAAAACAAAAAAATAGCATCCAAACCAGGGCAATGAACTTGACATGGAGAGACTAATTGCTGAGAGGAACAAAAGTAAAGGAACACAGCATATATTTTAGATTCCACACATGCATGAAGCTGTAAGTTTTCCAAGTATATTAGCAGATTTCTCGTATTGTGCCTGTACCATGAGCATAAAACGAGCACATTACAGAGCCTATTGATCCAACTATAGCCCATACGACATGCTGTAGACTAAGCTCTCATTGCCAATTTATCCAATGATTTGGAAAAACCCAAATAGAATAAACAAAGAACGAGTGATATCATAGTCTCAATATAAACGGCATTTATCAGCGTGGGACATCCTTAACACAAGTCCTTGGATCTGAAAGAAGCTCGTGAGTGATTGGCTTGAAGCCCTTTTTGGACATTTGTCTAAGAATGGCCACTTCAAGCAACCTCACCTGCCAACAATTTTTCTTCGTCAGAAAATAAGCGAAAAATACAGTAAGGCGCATTTCAGTAACTGGATAATAGATGGTTGAGATAGAGCAATGGGCTGTTAAAATCATCTGAAAACAGGACTGAGCTGAGAGAGTAGATACTATATAGTACATGCCAATTTTCAAGTTTTTGGCAAAGTAAAAAAGCCTGTAAAGTTTAAAAGAAGTAACTTATTAACACATAAAAACACACTGAAAACAGAAAGGAACGAAACTAATTTGTAACATCTTAATGCTTAAGAACCAAATTTATGGATCCGGCACAATAACTTCATCTGGGCTGCTTCTATATTTTCAAATACTTGCATGAATAAATCTGGTTCTTGCTCAAATAATAGTAATACCAATTAAGATGGATCAAAATAAGAGCAGCATATATTTCTGCCTTTCTGCAACAGCCATTATTCTCACTCGGGTCACAGAACAGATAATTAGAGGTAACTAAGAATGTGCACACTTTTTGGAGCAAGGAAGGTCAAGTATAGAATGACACAACGAGACACGGAGACAGTAATGCAATGAGTTACAATGCAAGATGGCTCAACCTACCCAGACTCAAAATTACAACTTCCTTTCTCTTACCATTGAACAAGGTGGAAAATGAGAAGTAAAAATGCAAAAGAAACAATGGAACTAAAAAGATCCTCAACCACCAGAAAACAGTATATGTATCACGGAATTTCCCTCTAATAAACCAATAATTATAACTGGGCATCTTAATTTTCTATTTTAGTTTCGTTCTTCCAGTTTTAAGTTGCCCCACGCATCTCCTCTACACCTAAAACTTCAATAGTCAATAAAACGGATTAGCACTTTTAATAACGATTGGCCAACTAAGTTTGTTTAATTTCTCACAATCTTCACTTTTTCCGAAACATCCCTTCAATTGAGCAGTTCTGTCATTTGACAAAATGAAGAAAGGGTGAAAAATGAAGATGGGTTGGGAAAAGCCTTATGAATGGATTTGAGCCCCAATCAGGCAGCTGCATGAGTAGCAGACTCAGGGTTATGGCACGATTAATAAATAACAGGAAGCCTTAATGTAAGCTAAATAAACCTTGTAGACTGAAATTGATGAAGTCTTTGGTAGACAACATCATTTCAATAGGCAAAAAATATAAATAAAGCAATTGAAAAGTTTCACTTTTTAGATTTTTATCGTTTATACTCCTTTCCGGAATAATAAAACCAAATACATAGAAATCCCAATTTAAAATGAAAAGCATCTAGCAAACAACAACACAACATTAAAGAAATCAAAATTCCTTGGACATCATCCAAATTCCTAAATCCAAAGTCTGGCCAGTAAACATGTGTAGTGATGAAGTAACCTATCAAAGATATTCTCAGAGCCATTCTTCCAATTAACAAAAGATGAACTATATTACGGCCCATTTAAAGGTACTAAAATCATTCCTTTGCAAATAGTTACAGTATTCAGGCAACATAAGCAAGATAAAACAAAGTGACCAACCTGCCTGACAATCAAAGGCTCCTCTGCAAGACTCAGTGGTTCAGTGAGTATAGTGAAAAATCCATTTCTGTTCCCATAAACAATATCCGTGAAGGGACGATCACCCACCTAACATTTTCATAGCCAATATGCCGCGAGATAAGACATCCTGACTCTCAGAAATAATGAAAAAGCTGTAGGAAAACCATACAAAACAGTCACCATTTACTATCTCACCATTACAAGCCTCGAGGATTTGCACCCGAATTGTTTTTCGATTTCTTCAGCTGTTCCAGCTGGTTTCTTCACCCCTAAATTCAATTACAAAAGCTACCAATCCATAACGACAAAGACTGAAAGACAACCAAGGACATGTCTCCATCTACATTCACGATAAACAAAATTTCAATCAAAATCAAAGATTTTCAAGAGCAGAAGCAAAACTTACTATGCCGAATCACTTTGATTCCAATTGCATCCTCAAGAGCTCTGGCTTTTCTACCATCCGGGTCATACTCATGCAACCCTGAATTTGCAATAAGATAAGCAATGTCAAGCAACACAATGGAACAAACACAACAACCCATCTAAAAAAAAAAACCCTCAATCTCAAATTCCCAAATGAAATTTATCTCCAAACTTACCGGCAGAGTTACTGAACACCGCCACATTATTGCCGAACAATGACTTACACTGCTCCACGGATGGCCCAAGGGGCGGCCACAGGCTCAACGAGTAAGGCGCCGTAATTGTGTTGTCCTTGTCAAAGACAACTCCCACGAATCCCCTATTCTTCAGGTCGGCCCAATCAACACTCCTAATATCCGGCACAGAAACGTGAGGGATCACCAAATGCTTGTCCCTAGACAGTACCCCAAACGAACAGGCGATTCCTTCTAAATTAATCCTCTGCCCCACCGCGCCTTTCAGATCAGACCACCACATGCTCGACCAAATTCCCGGCGAGGTGTCCACCTCAAATCGTCGAACTTTTTCGCCTTCACCGGATTGGTTGCCGCTCGAGGAGCAGAATTCTTGCGAGAATTCGCGGTTATGGATCTGCTTCTTTTCTTGGTCCTTGCTGCAACTATGCGCGGCCGTGAGTGTGAGGAGGTTGTGGTTTGCGCAGTGGGGTTTGCGGAGCTTGGTGGGAAGATGAAAATGGAGATTGTTGGGTAAGAGATTCTTAGGGACAGGGTAATAGGAGCAAGTTTGCCATGAGGCAATGGAGGTGGTTTGCATATTCAAAGCTACTGATACTGAAAGCTTATATATGCAGCTATGGTGGGAAGGGCAGAATGAAGGTTGAAGATGGTTTTGGTTTAAGCCTACTGTTGAGGCAAATTCCAAGCCACACCCAAACTGTCCATATATGTGAAGCTTGATGGATTGAGACATGGGCTCTGGTCAAGGCCTGCTTGTCTAGCCCATTGGGCTAAAACCGCATTTGAATTTTCCATTTTGTAGGCCCAGGGTAAAATTCAATCAGAGCATTTTCCTTTTGACCATTTAACATACACAGAATTGTGATTGATGAGTGATGACTTTTCTTTTGGCATTGGAATTTCCCACTGGATTCAAAATCTTCTATTCCACTTTCATATTTAATTTCATATTGTCTTATGTTGATGAATAACATGTAAAAAAATATGATATAAGAGGATATCCCCTAATATTGTAATGATAAGAGTATCTCACTTTTGACATTATAAAAAGTATTTACATTTGTTGATATCCAATTTGGCTCCGAATAATTAAATGATAAACGAAATACGGCTCAATAATCTAGGAGCCGAAAATACGTAATAAATAAATATACAAACAGGTTCTCTAGACTGATCGCCTAAAAACCGACCGGGTTCCCAGACGTCGAATCCGCCCGCTATCGAGCCGAATAGGATTCGAAGCCGCCTCCAGTATATACCATAATTGCCGAGGAGACATATGCCAGTCGGAATCGTCAAGGGTCATAAGTGTGTCTCACGATGACTACTTTCCGTTAAATAATAATGTATTACATTTTATTTATCTATTTTTAATTTCCCATTTACAAAAAGATGGGGAATGTATAAATATGTACAAAGAAAGAGAGAGAAGGAGATTTTTTTTTTCATCCTCTCATCCCTAACAACATACATAAAGAGAGAGAAAAACTCTCAAAATGAAATAAGAGAAAGCACCATTTTCATCATTTCTTCTTCATCTTTCCTTCAATAAATTCAATTTTTATTTAACAGTTGATAAGTCCGATTTTCGACATCAACAACATTAACTTTAAAAAGTGTACTATTAATTTGTTCGTCAAGGCATCTTGCCACATGCTTACTATGCTTAAGTGGAGAACTTCAATATTGAATATTGAACTCATTTTCTAGGATCTTACATCATGTTAAACATAATGACTCATGACTTTATTTTATATTTGATTAAAATTTTTGTTGCTATCATATCGAAGAATCACTTTCATTGATTCATCTAGGCAAATAACTTATTGTTGAATTGATGCATTGCATAATTTGAGTCAAACGTTTAGTCTTTTAACACTCACTCTAGGGGAATTAGTGTTGCAATAATTTGGACATGATCTAATATCACATCTCCTTCCAATTTTGTCTAGTCAGATGTTGATCACTAATTTATCCACATGAACGAAACACAAACTGGAAATCTCATTCAGTTAAAACACTTAACTTGAAATTAGGATTAATTTGATGATATTGACAATTTTTAATCAATTTGATGGGCGTCAAATTATTATTATATTTTTTAAAAGGAAACCAACTTATTGAACTAAAAATGGAATTAAACAATATGCAATAATGCAAGCTGGCTAAAGTGGATAACGAACAGAATAATATTGTGCGCGTCCGATTATGGGTCCATGGGAATTATTCAGCTTCATTGGCGCCAGGGTAGCTGTTTAAAGGGGATGTATTGCCAGTGTTTTCAAATCTGGACCAGCCCAACCGGGTTGACCAGGGAGCCACGACCCGATTGACTCGATTTGTACGGACCCGATATCAAGGGACCAAGTTAATCGGCTTTGACCATGTCGATTCGGGTATTGACCCGGCCAACTCAACTCGGTTTGAACTCGTCTATTTAAATATTTTTTATTTTTATTTTTAATTTTTATCTTTTTATTTTGAAAAATAAAATTACATGTATATATACTATGTGGTAAGTATCTATGACAAAATATTTGGTTTTATTATTTTACATATAATTACAAGATAAAAAGTAATATAAATAAAATTTAAACATTTATAAAATTAATTACTCGATTCAGTAATTGACCTAGTGACTAGGAGTTCAATCCGGGTCAATTATATAATTACTAGCTAATGGCATCTAAGAAAATTTATTTAATAAAACCTCTAAAATTTTCCCTCCATTTTCGGTTACAAAATTCATCATTAATGTTTTTTTACTTCTCACATTAATATATCCTATTGAGTGTAATCATGTATTTCTCTATTATACTAGAATTTGATGTTGTGCACATGCACAGAGGGAAAAAAAAATTATATATTATATATACGTATTTGATATTTAATAATTTAAATTAGATAAAGTGTGTATTACATTTTAAAATTTTGACTATATGTAAATGTATGATATAAATATAAATTATTTAACTTTCATATAAATTAGTTTTTTTTAATTATAATACAAAATATGAATATTAACTGTAAAATATTTTAATATTGTATATTCAGAAAATTTAAAATCTTGTAAAGCTGTTACAGAATAAAAAATTAATAATAATAATGTTTTACTTGTGTAACTGTCATTTGAATGTTGATCATAAAGATTTTTATTAATCCTATTTGTGCTTTTTCTCTCTCTAAAAACGAAACTCCCCCCATTTCCTCAATCTTCTTGCCCTAGTCGCTCGTCAATCTGTATGAGCCTCTCCTCCGGCGGCCCAAGCCCTCCCTAATTCCGGCGAACATCTGGCTCTTCCTGGGCCCGGCGGCGTGGCTGTGGCGCTCTCTTGTCTCCACCTTCTCGCGTGGTTCCGATCTTGCTCCGATTGCCATGGCGGGCAAGGAACGGCGGGTGGCGCTTGCGGCTATTGTCCGGCGGACGTCGTGGGCGTCCTTGTGGCGGTTAATGGCGGCGGTCTAGCCTTGGTTCTCCCCTTGCCCGGCCTTCCCTGGTGTTTGGAAGGTGGGGTCCTCCGGCAGCAGCTGTGCGATTGCGGTGGCGCGGTGGCTCCGGTGTATGCGTGGGGGGGGCTGTGGAGTGGTCCGGCCGGGGTCGGGTCTGTGAGGTACTGGGAGGAGCTGTCGAGCTTTGTGGTCCGGATCTGGTTAGCCCATTAGGGGAGTTTCTGGATCCGATGTGTTTGGGCCGTAGATCTCGTGGTTTTCTTGGTATTTTGCGATGGGTGTTTGCTCGGGTGTGGTGCAGCTTGGAATTCCCGTCCGGTGGGGAGGGCTGTAGTTTGTTGCTTGTTTTAGATTTTTTGTTTTGTGTTTTGTTCTGTGTTGTGAGTGTGTGCTAGTGTTTTTTTCTCCGATTTAGGAGTGTGAATTCTCCCGTGGGGAGTATGTATTCCTCATTAGTGGGGCTTTTAGTTTTTTGTGGTTTTGTTGTGTGTTGTGGTCTAGGCTACCTATAGTGGTAGACCTCTCTTATTCGGCTATTGAGCCGGTTGTAATTATGTGTTTGTTTTTTTATGAAGTCTATCGTTTGAAAAAAAAAAAAAGTTCATAAAAATCGTACTATATATAAATCACCACTAAATTGTGGATCGTGCGCCATTTTGCTGGGCCCATGTTTAAGGACTCCAGCTTCTGCTTAGATGGCGCCATTAACTATTTTGCGTTGAATAAATTTCTCAAGAAGATATTCACTGTACAATAAATAAATAATAATCAAAATCCAGAAAAGAAATAGCTGACGATTGCTATCAAATGCAAACATTCACCTGCATTAGCAAATTATGTGAAATAATTTAATAAATAAAATTGATGGTCTTCCAACTCCATAGTCGTTAGGTCTCTAACGTTTGCAAAGCCACCTTTAACTCTTGTGCATAGATTCAGGGAGTTTACAATTGACTTACCAACTTCAAGATACCACAGGTCTGGAAATGACAGTTTGTAAATATATGATTGCACTAAAGTTGGATGTTAAGTAAATCGTGTAACGTTTAGGAACAAACATTATTATCTTTTCGGTTTTTCTGTGGGGTGTTGTCATGGCTGTGGAGGGAACTTTAAATAGGGGTAGGAATTAGTCGATATAGTACGGCGAGGTTTCACTTCTGCAGCCAATGAGCTATCGACATATGTCGGCAAACTGTCTGTACAAGGTCGTTGGGTTGAAGTAGAAGAATTTTTCGATTTAGTTGTGGGTCAAGGGTGTTTGCTCGATTCTATCTCATGTGGTTTGCTTGTGAAACACTATTGCTTTAGCAAACAAACCGATAGAGCAATTCTGATTCAGGATAAGTTGAGGGAGTTTAGAGGTAATTTGGACACAACAACTTATAATATACTTCTTGCTGCATTGTTCAAAGAGAAGAGAATTGTTTTTGTTATATAAGATTATTTATTTTGGAGTTGGCGGGGATCGAATTAAGCAAAATCCTATTTAGTAAGTATTTTATTTTAAACAATTAGGGAATGTAATTATAGTATATCCGAACCTATTTATTTTGGAATATAATTATATTAATTTTTATGCGAACCAAAAGTCGAAGCATGTAATGTTGCCAAAGATTATGTAATATTCTATAACTATGTATCCTTATAGATATTCTAGAAAGATTTAAATAATTTATTTACCATGTTGGATTGAAAATATATAATATGTAATTAGTTTATATAATATTTAACGATAATATTATATATTATAATTTTCCTAAATAATATTATAACACGGGTATTTATGTTAAATCGAAGAATACAATATCAAGCAATGAAATACTGGTTTCATAGTTAAATATGGATATTCCTAGGTCGATGAAATACTGGTTTTAACTGGTAAATAGATAAATCATTATCCAACAAAATTAGTCGCCACAGGAAAATCTCTCATTACTTATCTTACTGAGTTTTTCTTGTTCACAAGAGTTAATACATCTGCGTGACAGACACACTCCCACACAAGAAAAATAGAGGGAATATGGTTGACACAGAGAATGGAAACAGATAAAATAATGAGATAACTATTATAGGAAAGATTTTCCTAAATAATATTCTTGTGCTTTTTTTTCTTTATTTTGTAAATTTTTATATATATATAAATATTCACATCATGTATTATGTATTAGTTTAATAAATTTAAATATGTTTTATGGCAAGAATTAAATTTAAATATAAAATATTAACAATAATTACATATATTATCCTATACCAATATAAGTTTTGAAATATTATACCATATTTTTTCGACTCACTTCAACAGTATAAGAAACTGTAATATTTTATTTATTCTAATTTGTGATATATACAAGTTGAGCCGATATATCTAGGAAAAACTATATCCGTCAATTTTTGTATCCACATGATTCAATAATATGGATGTCAAATACATCCATGTTATATATATATATATATATATATATATATATATATAGGGGATGGATCCAATGAGACCACTCCTTAAAATGAGTACGTGAGACTCAATCTTAGCCACTCATTTTGTCTAGATCAAAATCAATTAAAATATACATTAATTAAATAATAAAATAATTATTAGTTGACTCCGGCGTTGACCGTTGACTTCCGGCGTTGACTTCCGGCGAGAATCGTTGACTTCCGGCGTTGACCGTTGACTTCCGGCGTTGACTTCCGGCGTTGACCCGTTGCATTGAAGTAAATAACCTAGCAACAAATGATACTCAACCTTGAGTGGTGTAGTGGTTGCATTGCTTGTCTTGCTTCCATGAGGTACCAGGTTCAAATCCTATGGGCTACAATTTTTTTATAAAAAAAAAATACAACTAACTTAGCAGCATCAGACAACTAACCTAGCAACAAAACACAACTAACTTAGCAGCA